CCCACCCACACTGGAGGGCCCGCTCTGTGCAACATAGAGAGTGAGGAGGGGAAGGGGACTTTTCCCTCAGGTAGAGACAGTCTTTAGGGGACTGTCTAAAAAAAGAGGGGGGATCGGGGGGGATGTAATATTTGGCGCACGAGCACGAGCTAAATAAACGAATTTAGGGTTAAGATGTATATCTGACTTAAAGCCCAGGCCGTGGCCTTATTGGTAGAGAAGCAGTAAACCGTCAACAGGTGAGCATACATTGCCCCCCCCCTTCTCCCCCCCCCTCCGCTGTGGTCCCCTTAGGCCTCTTTGAGCTGCCGAGCCCTCCCCCCCCCCTCCCCTGCCCCGCCCGCTGTATGGCACCCACCCCCGTATCCGGGCCGTATCCGGGCTCCAGCCGCCCCCCTTCCCCGGTTTAAGTCCTTGCGGTATTGTGGTCGGGGCTCCTGGACAAGTCCTGGAGAAAGCAGCCGAACAGCGGCGGCTAAAGTTTTAATCAGTTTGTGGACCGTGGGACCAGGAGGGCAGGGCGGGTAAGGGCCGGGCCACGGCACGGGGCGTCCGCGCGGCGTCCCGACGCACAGTATCGATCAGGGGCGTCCCGGGCCCGCGTGACACTCGGTGTACATGTACACGCTCACGGCCAGCGGCGCGCGCGCGTAGGGACACCACAAACGGCACAAGGAGGCTTCGGGGCGCCGCAGAGGGTCTTGCGGCGGCATGGGAGCGCCCTAGAGCGACCCGACCCGACCTCCCGACCCCGACCTCGCCTGACCTCACCCGCCCGACCCGGCCCTCTCTCTCTCTCTGGCGCGCGGGACTCGCGGGGATATGAGGTACTTGACAAAACGTTGTGGCTGCCGACCAAACCGCACAGCACCCGCGGGGAGCGCTACGGCGACTCGCGATACTGCTGCCAGAGCGAACCGCCCGGGCCAAAGGAGCCGTCTCCACCGACTGCGAGGAAAAACATTCGTCGGAGTAGCAGGAATAATCAATTGTACAATAACGTAAGCTTTTGGCTGTATAAATATCTCCTATTGCTCTGCTTCGGTTATCAGTTATTGGCTACGCGGATGTTTGATTGTAATTGCCAATTTTCAACCTTGGTTTTGGGTAACAATAAAAAATAAACGAAAAAGTACAGCCATGCAAAATGATTTTTCCTGGCAGTAAATGTTGATCAGTGCGATCATCAGTGAAGCTTTGTTTCCAAAACTACCATTACGAATTTAAGTTCACGATGAATTACGCAAACTTTTGTCAGTCTTAAAAGGGGACAAAGTTGCCGGTCGGACGAGGAGTTTGCAGAGCACTCCATCCCCGTCGTCCTCCTCTTCTCGCCGGGCGTCGCGCCGCCAATATGCCCCCGGGCGACCTGCACGACATCCCGGGCAGTTGCTGCTTCGTGCTCGCCGGCGGGCGCCGCGACGCTAACGTCTGGCTGGACAGTGTGTCTCTCCCTCTCCCCCTCACCTCCCCTTGTATCCCCCCCCCCCCCTCTTCTTCGAGGCCGAGCAAGGCAGGAGGCAGGCGGGAAGGCGAGGCCCGGAGAGAAACTAATGCAATCCATTATCCATTATTCGGACTGGTCGTGTTTCTAAAACCTCCCCCTTTCCTTGTTGTTGCAGCTCAAGACGAGCGAGTCGCAGTTCACCGTGCTGGCGTCCGACGACGCCGAGTCGGGCCGCGGCGGCGGCGGCGGCGGCGGCGGCTACGCCAACCACGCGGACGGCATCGGGGTGAGCGTCGTGTCCGGGCCCGGCGGGGCGGCGAGCGACGGGCTGGGCGACTGCGGCAGGGCGGCGGGGGGCGGCTCGGCCGGCGGCGCTGCGGCAGGCCACGCCGCGCCGCCCCCGCACCGCCACACCCAGCACAACACCATGTCGTCGCGGTCGTCCAACGGCTCCGTCATCACCCTCACCATGCACAACAACCACCTCATCGTGGAGAAGGAGGAGATCGTGGTAAGTAGCAGAGCTAAAATCGTGAACATTAGAACATCTTAGCTAAGTTTTCAAAAAATATCAACTATGTAAGATTTGTAATTTTTTTTAGAAAATCTTATCGTGAAAAGGAGCATACGTCTTATTGCAATTATTAGAAAATGCCGATTCTATGTAGAAGCTTTTTAGTTTGTAGGAACATTTGTGTTTTTCATTTGATGAAAAAGGTTGCGTTTGTACGCGACTGTCCAACAGGGTAGTCGTTCGGGGGCACGAGCTGCGGGTATAGGAGGGGAGCGGGCGGGGAGGGGGTGGGAAGGGACTTAGAGAAGGGGGCAAACTGCTTTCAATTCCCGTCGTCAAGGCAGTTGTGGTTCCGTTGCGGCGAGG